CAACAAAAGGTAGTGTTTTATTTTTAAAAACTTGTTTAACAACCATATACCAGCTAAGTGGCTGTTATGTGGCATAGAACATAATATAATGTTGTACATATATTATCCAGTTTACTGATACGTAAGGCTTTTAGATTTTTCTCTTGTTAGTCACCATTCAACTAGGTTATTCCCCAACTCCCAGAGATCAGCAAAGTTTTCATTCTCAAAGTTTCAAACTTGGACAGTGTCAACTAGATAAAATATTACAGAATTTTTAATGAAATGGAAATTCTGTTTACCTGGATCTATCTTATTCTTTTTCAGCAGGAACAACTGAGATTGGAGAGAGATTGCTTTTCACCGTTCATACCCTTGTTTAGAAAAATAAGAAAAAATAAAAAGTATTAATCCTGTGAGATAGTCATTTCTTAGTAGGACATATTGTATTTAAATCGCTCGTTTAGAATTCTTACTATTTTCTTTTGATCCTTTTTCTTAATTCATACTTGTTATTTTCTTTGAGAATTAACTCAAATCCAATCCTGTACAAAGGCTTTTCTTTGATTTCCTCCACTCCATTCTGAACACCCTTCACATGTTTATGAAGTTGTGACTCTTTTGTTCAGCCAATTTGCAAAGTCAGATTTACAGAATTGTAGAGACCAAAAGGCCTCTGCCATGATCCGGTCTAATGCCCTCATTTCTGGTTGAAGAAAATGAGACCCAGCCCCAGCCACAGAGCTGGTCAGTTTTTGAGTCAGAATTACAACCCAGAGCAGTTTCCATTACCTTCTGTTTGGTGATTGTTTGATTGTTTTGTGTGTATGTTTGGTCTCTCAAGCTAGAGGGGTTTTTTGTTTGTTTGTTTGTTTGTTTGTTTGGTCAGAGACCAATTTATTTTCCTCCCTCAGCCAAAGATTTTTCTGTACTTCTGTAATTCTTGGGAAGCCAGCCTTTTGGAAGCAGATACCAGTAGTATGTAACTGTCCTCTGATCTAGTGCTGTCTTTAAAGTGTCTTCAGTGTTTATTTTAATTTCCAAAACAATGCTTATATATTCATCTCTTAGTAGAACTGATTTAATGTTATATATAATCAGGATTTGTATTCTCACAGTTTTCCTGACTTGGAGACCAAACTAAATACCTTTATATTACTGATTACGTAAAATTGCATTTTCTGATTCCTTAGAATATGGTGAGGAGGTGTTGTGAAGCAAGGTCTAAATCACAGTATTGAATAGGTGTTTCTAAGTGAACTTTAAATTGCGTAGTATAGAAGAGCTTGCTTGGAACAGTGCCCCTCAAATCTGGCCATGTACGATGATGACATCCCTCCCCCCACCCCACCCCATCCATACCACCTAAATTAAGACCCATGCCTCTGTATGTTTAAGGGGCTCACCAGTGAAGACCCACTGGCATAGAAGAACAGCATTATTGAGATAACCAAGGTCCCCTTTTCAGAGAAAAATGTTAAGTTAAGGTGGAGTGCTACCTTGATGTATATACAGAATTCTTATAGAAAGGTATGGGCTGAGCTCATGCTTCATGAAGCTACTTGATTGCCTGTGGGATATGTCTTTTGAGTCATATACTAGTTGAACGGCAACTACAAACCTTCATCAAACCAGAAAGGAATTGACTAAACCAGGACCGTGACCCTACTTCTGCAGTTCAGAAGTGACACACACACAGTAAACCTGCATTGAAAACAGAAATCTATTAGAAACTGCCTGTTTGTCATCTTACTGAGTAGTGGCTGACCCAAAGTATTGAAAGTTGTAGTAAGGTTGGTTCTGTGGCTGGACAACATGATTCCTGCCTTACAATTGTCTATTGATTAATTCTTACTCTGTCTCTGTGCATTTCTTCAGCATTAGATGTAACTGTGCCCTATTTATGAGGCTGTCATATGGGTATTCCATTAAATATTACAGACATGCCAATAAAATAATATACACATATTAGAAAGTTGTAGAACACTCACATGATCACAGAAATTTAGTTTTTAGAAGTGGAGAATTGCCAAAAATCAACTTAATTTTTATACTTAATATCTTTTTGAAGCCTTGCTGGGTGCTGACTGGGTTATAGCAAAAAGCTGAGACCAACTTTGGGACTAACACATTTACTTTTCAACTAAGGCAAAGTTAGAGAGACTCATGATAATGATTTGATAGTAGTTATATTTTATTTGTTATTTCTTGAATGTAAAGAGACAGAGAATGATAGTTTTTCTTTTTTAACTGGAGAAGGCCCCTACCTCTAGAATTTCACAGATAAGCAAATTTTTAAAAAAAGGTGATAAACTGTTCCTTAATAAATAATTAAAGCAGAGAGAACTTTATTTTCTTCTTAGTGGTGGGTCACTACTAAATCAGTGTGTATACGGACCACATGACATTTCCACTTTTTCAGTGGAGAGTTTAGAGGACCTGTGTTGAGCACTTGAATATTGGACATGATTCAAATGTGAGTCAAGTGTGTCTAGAGGCTTTATTCATACCTATTTTCTTTTAGTCAGCAATGCTTCATAATGCCCTGGTTTCATGAATTAATTTTAATGGAATTAAACTTGAACAGCTCAAAATTATATAATTAATTTCATTCAGCTTCAATTAAAGTTACTAATTGAATCAAGCCTACTAGCATGACACCTGGCGGCAGTTAGCTACATAACAGTAGCAGCAAGTGTGTGGGACTCTGCTGATGAGCTAGTTTATGTATACTGGTGACTTTTTATAAAAAGCTCTTCTGTTGATAATCTCAGAAAGGCCTTGAGTTGACTGTAACAGTGGAAATATTTCTGGAGTTGTTTAAAAAAGTAAAGATTTTAATTGAAACGAACACCTCTCAGGAAGATTACATTTTCTCCAGGATAATGCTGAGTAAATGTTACATAAATCTTCTAGAACATATTGGTTTAGCATGCTTCTGATTTATATTTTACTGCTATCTGAATACAGTTTTGCTTTCTGAAAATACTTAGCATTGAAGACCCTGCTTTTTTTTTTTTCCCGGAGATTGTTAGCCTCTGAACCTAGTCCTAGGTGGGTGTCCATCTATTTTCATGTGTTGAAATGTGTTTAATGGCAGAACTTTTCAATTGTTGTGAAATCCCCATGGTACATGAGAAACTTTTGCATGTGCAGAAAATTTTTCCTTCCACTGGAAATGTTAACAGAGTTGACTAACAACTTCTGTTTGAATCTCTTTCCTTTCCTTGCTTCCATGGCTTGACATCATCCAGTTTCTCACCCTTCTCTGACTCCTGTCTAATTGTACAGACCCTTCTTGCTACTCTTAATGTACTCTTTTGATGAGCTCATTCATTTAAATGGCGTTAGCAGTCAAGTTTAGGAAGATCACTTTTCCCAGCTATAACTTTTTTTTTTTGTGATTTGCAAATTCAAACGTGCAACCCTAAACTCCTCTACTAAACTGTAAAGTTCATGAAGGCCTGAGCTGCTTCTCACAGTTCATTGCATTTTCGTTGCCTGGCACAAAGCCTAAACATCTGCTACATACAAATAAATAGTGTTTAACTAATATATTGTTCTCCTGGTCTTCTGGTTTTCCCAGCCAAAGCCTTGACCAAGAGAGCGCCATCATCTCCAATCCCATCTTCCCTGGTCATCTGTGCAGATCTCTAGTTGTTTTCTCACATCTACTCCCTTTCCCGTCTTATTCAGTTGACTGAATTCTGATTAAACTGGACTATTCTAAGCCTCTCTTATAGTTTCCCTTACTCTGTTCTCTCTCTTAGATACATCCGTACTCCAGCATTTCTCAAGGATGTAAGTGCAGCAAAATTACCTAAGTGCCCCACCCCTAGATGGAAATAGAATCTTTAGTGGTGGGGTCCAGGAATCCGTTTTTTTTAAAGTCCCCCAGTTGAGTTAAAAGGCAGGCAGGCTTGATACACTGCTGTGCACAAATGAATTAATCTTCCTAATGCACGACTCTGATAAGGCAATTCATAAAACTTCAATGGCTACTTTGACTTACTTATCTTGCCTTGAAATTCTGTCCAGATTTCTCACCTTCCCATTCAAATACCCATGCGGTATCCCTAATCAAACCTTTATAGTCTTATCTTCTAATGTCCCCCTTAAAGTATTTCACACTCCAGAGAAGTAGAACCTTTGCCCGAGTTTATGCTGTAGAGTTTGCCCATGCCACTCTTCCACCTGGAATGGCCTTTCTCCCATCTCTGCTTGCAAAATTCCCGCTAATGTTTTTGAAGACTATCCAACAGGCACCTTTTTCTGTAGTTCTTTTCTTGAGCTCTGAATCCTGTTGAGTTTCTTTTTCTTCCTTTGAGCCTCTTTAGTGCTCTGGACCTCTTATAACATGGATTTTACCTTGTGTTGTAGTTAGCTTTTTTTTTTTTTTTTGAGTTATTATGTTCCCGATCAGATGTTACTTTTCCTTACTGGATTTCCCCGTAAGAGCCCATAAACCCATGTATAAATCTCCCATCCTAAACCTCTCCCTTTCTGAGAATGCATAACGTAGCCCTTGCCTCTTTCCCAAGTTTCTACAGAGAGAACTCTGTGCTTGTTTCTATACCTTCTCACTTCTCAGTTGCTCGTCACTCAACTTCAGTGTGATTTTTAATCCCAACCATTCATTGGGATCTCTTCTCCTTTGGTGCTTTCCCTGCTGTACCTGCCCTCTGCATGCATGGACTCACTTTCATCTTTTATGTGACCTTCCCACATTTCTCTGTCATGGCAGACCAGTTGTGTTACGACGACTTATTTACGGTAATCCCAACAGGTTAGTTTTACTGTAAACATGTTTGTTTCTTCAATTCTTGTCACATAGTACGCGCTCAATAAATCTGTTACTGCTTCAATAACCTACAACAGTCACTAGAGGTACCGCTCCTATTACGTTAAATTATGGCAGACTGGGAAGCATTTGGAAAAGAAAAAAAAAAAACCTTAAAATGAAAAAAAAATAGAGAACAATATGTAACATTTAATGACAATCGATCTTTTGTTTTATTTAGAAAACTGTGATAAAGAAAATACTGAGAGAAATAAGACTCAAGCTGCCGATAGCTGCTTTGCACACGGAATGATGCAAGACCAGTCCATTTGGGGAAATTGTTCAGACGACGAACTCATTCGAAGTAAGTAGTTTTAGAGAAAATTAGAGTGATTTGGATATATGCCTATGATAATAGGTTTTTAGTTAATTGTTCCATATAACTTTTCTGGAAACATACAAACCAACAGAGTTTATCTGAAAATATATTTGTGACTATTTTATTTTTTTTTTAATTTTTTTTTTTAATTTATTTATAGGAGAGAGAGAGAGAGACAGCGCAAGCAGGGGAGGGTCAGAGAGAGAGGGAGTCACAGACTGAAACAGGCCCCAGGCTCTGAGCTGGTAGTCAGCACAGAGCCCGACGCGGGGCTCGAACCCACGAACCGCGAGATCATGACCTGAGCGAAAGTCGGACGCTTAACCGACTAAGCCACCTGGGCGCCCCTATTTGTGACTATTTTAAAAATCAGAGCTAAACTAGGATGTAAGTAATTCTGCTTGTCCATTTTCATTTTTTTTTTTTTTTTTTTTTTTAAGAAAAGGAAGAATTGACCTATAAACTTTGGATTTTATTCTCATAGAGATAGATCAAACTTAATTCCTTCTTGAGCAGTGCAGTGACTAAGAAGTAGTCAGAGAATTCTAAATGGACTGTGAAAGTAAAAAGATAAGGAAAGAACAAAAGGACCATGAACAGTATTTTGGTTATGCCATCCTGGTCCATGTTCTTGGAGCCAAATGATTCCAAATGTGTTTGTTTTTTTCTTTTTTTCTTTTTTTTTTTTTTTTTTACAATTCGCATTATTAGCACTACTTGGCTATTCATTTTCTTCTGTTACTCCTTTTCCTCTTCCTGAACTTACCCTGTAGACTATATACAAAAGCTGTGGTTTATTTTCATTTGATAGTGGGAATCCCCGGAAACACCAGTATCTTTTGGGTACTGTGTAAAATGCTCATTCTGTGTCAGGTTCTCCTATAGACCTGGGGCTTTCCCCCACCCCAGTAGGTCAAAATGAATTTGATATATAATGAATTATTCTTTGTCGTAAACAGGTAAGTATAAAGATTATCGCTATACTATTTGGTGAAGCTCGTCTTAATTACAGAATTCATACCATTAAATGGGAAGATTTAAAATGAACTATTCTCTTTATTATCTACACTGTTTAAGTGGACAGTGATAAAAAAAAATACTGTAAATGGCATGAAATAGTTTCTATGTTGAGATAATGATGATTCAGCCTGTATGATGGGACACTGGTGCTCTGAGAGCAACTATATAGTTGTTTTACTAATATGCCCTGAAGAAATGCAGAGACAGGGAACTTTGGCCTCCCCTGGGAAAATAGGCAGATGAATGCGTACACAAAAGATAAAGGCCAAAGAGAGCAATGCCACTCCTGCCTGAAAAATAGCTGGCGAGAATTTCCACATATTTGCGGGTGACCTCAGACTCTGAATTTTGATTACAAATTTCAGAAACTATATTTTTGCTCTCTTCCTGGTCACACTTTTTTAAGCAAAGGCGAGTTTGTTGGGTCTAGAGAAAAATCTGATCTCTGGATTTGCCAAAATGGAATGTTTTATGTCATCTTTAAACTCAACTCAAGTCTGGACTGCACTTCAAAGTTTGATATTGTGATAGCTTCTGCTGTTCCAACTCCCTGACACTGAACTCTACAAAGCTGCCTGGATTTCCTTCATTGGCCTTCCCCATAGGGTAGTTGGTCATCTCTGCATAATTTACTGTCTGTCTCGCTTAACCCCACAGCTAGGGAGATGGGTGTTTTCCTTTGAGCATCTAGCACATTTTGGGGGGCCCAGTGAAATCTTTTGTAATAACACTAAGTCCTGGAAAGAAGGCCCTGGCTCAGAGTTGCATGGGGGAGGAGGGGAACATCTGTGGTGAGTCAGGACCGGCCTGGCTCCCGTTCCAGGAGTCCTGTGTGGCTCCCTGAGCACTGTGGAAGAGGCGGACAGCTGGCTCTCATGGAACTGATTTTAGTGTTCCCACTGTAGTGTGAGGTTGGCTGGATGCAGGGATCATCAGAAAAATGAGGCCGGCTGGGCTGTGGGAACATTTTCAAATGCACAACCCACTCTTTTTTCCAAGGCTCCATGGGACAGCTCAGCTGCATAAGCAAGAAGTGGAAGAGAGTGAGTCTGTTTAATATGACTTCTTTTTCTCTATCTATTCTTGAGAGTGGTTAGAAGGGCTGGCAGCCGATGTCTACATTGTCTGGATACTTGCTGCTATCTTTGCTGGACATTTAAGGTGTAATTTATAGGGGACCGTTAGCTGTCAGTGTGATGAGGCTGTTTTTACTTTTCTGAGAATAACTGAGCTCTGGAAAGTCAAGGGAGTGGTTGCTTTGGAAATTGTATTCTAATTAAAGGGTGTATTCTCAGGCCTCATAAACGAGATCCAAGCTGAGAATAATTTCCAAATTATTCTGTGAACTTTAACCCTGACCTCAGTGGACGACCCACTTGTGGCTCACACTTGGCTCATATTCCACACAGAAGTTCGAGCTTTGTGTGCCTTCTTTGGTCCTTCTAGAAAACATCGCAGGTGACAGACGTCAGGTACAGTGCTCTCAGAGCCTGATTTCACATTGGTTGCCCTTGAGTTGCTAACTTATTCCTGAGAATCCTTTCTGGAAGTTATAAATAAAAGAGAAGAAATACATATGGAATCAAATATTTCAAATAAATAGGCCACACACTCTCTGGTCTGGGGTTTGTGTTGTGATTTTCTTTCTTATGGAATTTAAATTGAAAAGACAAACCTAACTACTCAAGTTGGTTTTTAAAAAAAAAAAACAAAAAACAAAAAACCTGAATCAGTAAAGATTTAAAAATGTAAGGAAGGTGTTTGAGGAAATTTTATGTTTGGGAAGTTTTACTTTTTCACCTTAGGAGTTTTCTTTTTACAGTTTACAAAGCATTCATGTTAGGAAAAATGTTTTGGTCTATAATTTCTGGAAAGGGGCTTAACTTTTAGAGTTTATAAGAGTATCTTTTTATGGTAACACCAGTGAAGACTTCAGCTTTTCCCCCTCAGATTAGTGTATATGATTCAGTATATGATTTGGAGCTATGCCTTGTTTTTATAATCACTATTCCTCTGAATTGGTAAAATAAACGTGGCAGGGAAGTGACAGCCTCAATTAATATTAATTTTTCTATTTAACCCATAATATGCATAAACTGGTAACAGGCAATAGGTAACACTTCATGTTTTAATTAGACTAGAAAAGGAACAGAAGTAACATTTTGATCTTAGTCTTTGGGGGATTTCTAAGGTAGGAAGGGGCGTGTGTGTGTGTGTGTGTGTGTTCCTGTGTTTATACTCAGATATATGTAGTATTTTGCTTTAATTTAGGTCAAATTCTATTCTAATTACTTCCTTTAGAGAGGGAGCTTACATTTTTCTTTGTTCTTCTTTCTAAAGTGCCTCAGGTCGGTCTCTCCGATTTTTCTAGGTCTTTCTGAAAAATTCGTATTACTTAACTTTATCCTTGGACATCGCTTTTACATAAATGTCTTCTAATTCTAAATGTCATTACTTAACTCCAGAAATTTTCCTTAGCTCCTCTTCTGAAATAAATTTCCCATTAAATTAAACTATTTTGTTCAGCTAATTCTCTCCTTTGTGATTTTGTAGAATTCCCATGATCTGAAGCAAAGTTAGAATGCTCTACTTAAATGGTAATCCTCATTCTATTTAACCCATTTATTCATTTTTGAAGAGTTTCTAGCTCTCATAATAGTAAGCACTTAATTGGTAGTAGGATGTTAGCCTGTTCTCTAAGTCACACTTGCCTCCTCTTCACGGGGCTAATGCACCACGCTTTTCCCCTCTGCCTGCTGCTTGAATCCTTCCTCTTGGTGTCCTCTGAGCTCCCTCTCAACATCACCAGGCTCGGTCATGAGGAACTCTATTATTTCTTTTAGAAAACTTTGCCAGCTTAGCTATGATCACTCCTTTGTGAAGATTATTTTATCACTTTAGGGAATGTCTCCTCTATCTCTAACACTGAAAAAAGGCAGATACTCAGGTGTACTGTTTATATACTGAGAACATTTTCTTACTTGGTGATAAGGAAAGATCAGGAGAGATTTGGATTTAAATTTCTTTGGCAGTTCTCATGTTGAATGCACATTATAGTAAGTGGTATTAATATTCTTCTGGAATTCACTTTATATAAAAGAGGACATAAACAAGAGGTAAGTACTACCTGATAAGACTGGGAGAGGCAACTTTCAAGTTATGGTTCTTAGGGGATCTGGAATTCTTTCCCAATAATGCATCTTCATCGATCCTGGGATCCCATATTGGGAGCAAGTCATTGTGACTTCATCTTGCTCAGTATCTTTGCTTCCATTTGCCTCTGAGAAAAATTCTCTATTAAAAAAACACACTGACCAAATGGTTATGTGGCTACAGTTAAAATGCTTTGGTCTGTAAGGAATCTTTAACCAAAAATCCAACTCATAGTTTGGTTTAGGGTTTGGTGGACAAATCATAAGTTGGGTTTTTAAAAAAAAATTGTTTTAACATTTATTCCCTTTTGAGAGATAGAATGTGAGTGGGGGAGGGGCAGAGAGAGAGGGAGACACAGACTCTGGTGAAGCCTCCAGGCTCTGAGCTGTCAGCACATAGCCCAACACTGGGCTCAAACCCAAGAACCGTGAGATCATGACCTGGGCCAAAGTTGGATGCTTAACTGACTGAGCCACCCAGGTGCCGGAGCATAAGCTGTTTTTTGACGGTTACTTATAATTATCTCATTAGTCATTGACCATGAGATAGGTTATTAGGCTGCATTCAAGAATGGAACTTAAGTTACTGACATACTCCTTCCTTAGGGTGCATTATTCCAAGCTCATCTGGGTTTTGACCAAGAAGCTGGAGAGAACCATTGTCCATATTTTGCTTTGGGTATCTTAAGTTCAGTTTCTGGAGTTGGCCAGTGGGAGTTGACGGCCAAGTTCAGATCCCGGATACACAATTACTGCTGGTGTTGGGCAAGTTATTTAAGCTCTATGATCAAAATTCTCATTTTTAAAATGGAA